TATACATTAAGATTTACATAAAAATGTGTTAACCTCAATCTTATTAGAAACATTGACGTCTAGGGACACCTGGGTGGCTCAGTTGGTTAAGCAACTGCCTTCGACTCAGGTCATGATCCCAGAGTCTGGGAACTGAGTCCTGCATCGGGCTCCCTGCTTAGCAGGGAGTCTGCTTCTCCCGCTGACCTCTCTCCTCGCATGCTCTCTCTCTCTCTCTCAAATAAATAAATAAAATCTTTAAAAAAAAAGAAACATTGATGTCTATAACCAATGAAGCTACTAAGAAAATATGGCTTTAAATGTTTAAGGACGTACAGAAAATTACTCATTCTATAATGTTGAAACACTGGCTACAAAACTAGTAAAATCCCAGAGTTTTACAAACATACACAGAGACGAGTATGACTGCAGTATTAGAGAAATTCGAGAGGAAACAGTTGTATCTACATTTATCTATTAATTTCAAGGTTTTATAAAAGCATATGCATCTATTAATTTATTTGTCATAAACAAAATAAAGCTGATATTCTAGACAGAAGAATTTAATCAATCCCTGCTTTAAATTTGCTTATAGTCCAAGAGATTTCACAACCACATGCTAAAGATCTCAGAACTGCCTGGAAAGGAGATTTGAGATAATCTAGTTCAACCAAGCTCTGCCACCAGCATTTTACATAATGTAAATATAGACACTAAGTTAAAGTGAATTTGCCCAAATTTACCTAGTATTTCAAGGATGAGACCAGAGCAGGTCCTTCTGGATTGTTTTGAGTCTGTTCTCAAACAGGTCCTGCTTCCTCATTTCTTGTACAATCAGGCCTAAAACCTCATGGTCATCTTCAATAGTTTCTCTTTTGTCACTCTTATTAACTATTGGTCCTCTGGTCTTTTTTACCTTTTCTCCTCTGTCTCTTATATTCAATCCCATGCAATTCTACACCAGAAAAATCAAGCTTCACTTTTTTTCTTTTTCTTTCTTTCTTCTTCTTTCTTTGTTTTTGTTTTTGTTTTACTCCAGGCTCAGTTTCACGATCCTGAGCTGAATCACACCCTGATTGTGTCCTGAGCTGAAATCGAGAGTGGGACACTTAACAGACTAAGCTACCAAGCGGAGGTGCCCCAAGCAGTCATTACTTCTTAACTGGATTATCATAATGACTTTTTATTATTATAATGACTATTATTTCATTATTATTATAATGACTCCCCTTTCCTAATCTATGTTCTCCACTGAGCTTCTGGGTCAGTCACTACCATTCTCAGAAAACTTGCCGTAGCACTCAGTTTCATACAGAACCAAGTTCAACTGCTTGGCATAAAAACTGTTCAATGATACTTCCCCAACCTATCTTTATATCTTAACCTTGGTAATCTTCGTATGTCCTGTGCTATAGCTAAATGGAATTATTTTATGTCCCCCAATAGATTTTCCACATATCTGTGAAGCCTTTGTTTATGTAGTTCTTGAGTACAGAGCATACTTTCTTTGACTTGTATTTCTGGTATTGTTCATTTGCATGAATTCATTCTTTTCCTTTTCTGGTGTGATCAATAATATGTTCTTTAAAAAGTATGTAGAATTGGGGATGGTTATGAGCACTGAATGGAGGTGGCTATCATGGCTTGTGATTTCTCATTAGTCTTTAAGGACTAGTATAACCACCCACCTTACCCCCATCCCCAATCTCCAGAATGGGTTCTATCAGCCCAGAGCTATAACTCTAGCGTTGTAGGTCCACGGTTGGCTACTGGTACTAGTGCATCTTTCTGGGACATTTGAGAATGACTAGACAACTAAAGAAAGTAGGATTGCAAAATAGCTAGGGCAGTCTTCTGTATTTACTCTTCCTAGCCACCTTGACCTTTTCTCTTCTTTCCTGTTCCTGATCTTTGCAAGGCTGGCTCTTTCTGTTCATTTAAGTCCCACTTAGAAGTCACCTAAAGGAAGCCTTCTCTATTTGACTTAAAAGAACCACCCTGTGACTCTATTCCCCCAACCTGTTTCATTTTCTTCATGTTACCTAATCACTTTTAGAAGTTATCTTGCTTTCTTGCCTACTTATTTGTTGTTTACTTAATAGAATTTAAGAGGACAGAAGCATTGTCATAGTCAATACGGTATCCCTGGCAACTAGAATCAAAGTCAGAATTCTCAGAAACAGAGCTCAGTAACTCTTTGCCTAGAAGGTATACAAGCCGTTCAAGAATTATGCTTAAACTAAGATAGGCCGAATGGTAATTTAGTGGGTCAGTTTCAGTATTAAAAATACTTTCTCAGAGAGTGCTTTTTTATGGTATAATATGACTGTAATAATATAAAAATATCATGCCAGTCAGCAAAGGATGTCTGCTTGTGTGAGGCACAGCTCTGTCTGTTCTCACTAACCGTGTTATTGATAACTTCGATAATCATTAATGGCAAATCAGTTTTTGATGGCATAAAATCAAGGTGAATAGCCTCATAGGGTTACTTTAAGATCAGGAATTTAAGAGACTTCAATAGAAGTCACTGAAACAAATTTAACAACAACAAAAAAAATGAAGGAGGTTATTTGAAGTCTTACCTTTATCTAGAAAACAATTTTACAGAATCAAGGAAAGAGAGCTTAGAATTTTACTGGGCTTAGGTGCCTGGGTGCGTCAGTTGGTTAAATGTTTTCTTGATCTTAGCTCAGGTCTTGAACTCAGGGCTGTGAGTTCAAGCCCCATGTGCAGCCTACTTAAGAAAAAAAAAATTATACTTGGCCTTAAGTTCATTCTGAGTTAACGGTATAATAGAGCTGTTAAGACAAAAAACTAAATATAAACCTAAGCTATGATAAATGGATTAGAGTGTGCAGAACAAGGAAGGTGATAGTCCCACACTATTTACACTGCTCAGAACACATTTAGAATACCAGGTTCAGTGCTGGACCCCAGATTTCAAAAGGATCATTGAGAAATGGGGCCATTCCAAGAAAAAATGCCCAGGATGGTAAGTGGACTTGAAATTATCTTGCTTGAATAGGTAAGAGGGATAAAGATTGCTAGATTGCTAGCCTGAAGAAAACGTCAGGAAAACATGAAAACCATCTTCAAACATGTAAAAGATCTTAAGAAAGAAAAATAATTGGATACATCAGTATACTAAAATCAGTTGAAGAAAATTATAAGAAACTAGATTCTGGCTTAAAGATATTTAAGGAATAATATAGATATTTATTATCTGTATTATATATTAAATATCTATGTTATTTATTGAGAATATAGATATTCTCAAAGAAGAAATTTAAGGAATAATTTTAAGTAGGTGCATCTAAAAATGGAACACATTTCCTCATGAAGTAGCTCTCCAGCGGGGACACCTTCGGAACGTGGATGGGCACAATGGGGGATATTGCCAAAGGAACTGAAGTACCGGATAGGACAGTGGTCCTGGGACAGCGGTCCTCAAACAGGATACGTATAAGTAAATGAAGATTTTCTAAATGGTAGACAGAATTTTAAGGAAGCCAGTTTCCACCTTCTGAACTGCTAAAAGTACTTTTCACTAATACGTCTAGAAAAGCCTTTGTGGTCAAGCAGATTTGCCTTTCCTACCTTCCCTTTCACAGTTGCTCTTTACCAGCTTTGTAAGAAATCTCAAGATTTACCACCACCATGAAACACTAGAGTTTTCTGAATTCAACTATATATTTACCTGAATAGTTTTATAGTTACTTATTATCATCCTTTTCATTTCAGCTTGAGGAAGTCCCTTTAATGGCCTGTAGGGCCCAACTAGTACCGGTGATAAAGTCCTTCAGCTTTTACTTGTCTGAAAAACTATCTTCCCTTCCAATTTGAAAGGCAGCTTTGTTGGGTTGTTGAATGTTCATGGTTGGCAGGTTTTTTTTTTTTCCTGCCCTCCTTTCTTCCCTTCCTTCTGCACTTTGAATATATATTCAATATATATTGAATAGGGGGGCCTGGGTGGCTCAGTGGGTTAAAGCCTCTGCCTTCGGCTCAGGTCATGATCCCAGGGTCCTGGGATCGAGCCCCACATCATGCTCTCTGCTCAGTGGGGAGCCTTCTTCCCCCTCTCTCTCTCTGCCTGCTTCTGATCTCTGTCTGTCAAATAAATAAAATAAAATCCTAAATATATATATACATATATATACATAAATATATATTTTTGCATATATATATATTTTGCAATATATATTTTGCAAAGTCTCTGCTAAAAAAATTTGCTGATAGTATTATGGGGGTTCCATTATAGATAACAAGTTCTTCTTCTTACTGTTTTAAGATTCTCTCCATCCCCCTTCCCTCCACCAAACTCAACAGCTGTTAAACATACTTTAAACGAGTGTTAGTCCAGGGAAGCCTAGGTGGCTCCATCAGTTAAGTGTCTGCCTTTGGTTCTGGTCATGATCCCAGAGTCCTGCATCTGGCTCCCCACTCAGTGGGGCGTCTGCCTCTCCCTCTGAGCCTCCCCCTTCTTGTGCTCTCTCTCTCACTCTGTTTCACACACACTCTCTCTCTCAAATAAATCAATAAAATCTTTAAAGGAAATAAACAATTGTTAGTCTGGTAAGAATATCATTACATCATTAATTCAGGTATCAATTAACTTGCAGTATATGATAAAGTTTTTGGAATTGGGCTAAACAATCCTATAATGGAGACCTCAAAGAGGGTTTTGTGCTGCAAAAGAGGACAGCTGGAAAAGCACTGATGTGGGAATGAAGCCAGAATGGATCGAATTCTTGACCGCCAACTATACATTGTGTGTCTTTAGACAGGTTAATTTTTACGGGCTTTGGTTTTCTGACCTGAAAACAGTAATATTCCCTAACTCACAGAATTATTTAAATAGTCAAATGGTATCACTTGCTGCAGTTTTAGTAGTATTAACATCTCCTTTTATATGCAGATCCCAAATGTCCTACCTTTTCAGAGTGACGTCTCTTATTTTAATTCTTGGGACTATGCAAGGTGCCTTTCTATATCGAAGAGCTCAGAACCCTGAAGTGAACATGAACATTGTAAGTTGCTAGGAAATAAATGCTAAGCTGCTGAAATAACACAGGGGATGCTACTCTTTAATTGGGGAGGGCGGGCTTTTATTTTAATAGAGCTGCAGTCAAATAAATATCCCTGTATTTATATATTTTGATATGGGTCAATGAATAGTCCCCACTTACCGTTCTGTAGCTCACAGTTTCCCCTTCACCCTTATTTTGTCCCTGGGTGAAAATATATATACAGGCATTTAAATACCTTTATGGAAGACTTATAAATTCTTTTTTGTATACATGCACATACATGCAAATTCCAGATATAAGCTTAGCTATAATCATAGACATGCAAACATTTGTGGATAAACATATATTTTAAAATTGTATATGGCTGAGCAGGTAAAAGTTTGAGTGATTAGTAGTTAGGCAAAAAGTAATGTATAAGATTGATGTTTATAGATGTTCTTATCTATTACTGAATGAATCAGTGAACTAGTGAAAAAAAAAATAGTCCTGAGGTTGAGAGACTGACTATACAAGGTCCATTATTACATTAACAGCTTAGGTTATTATCAGGTTCCATTAACTGACCAGAAATTGTATCCTAAAAGCCTTCCTTTTTCTTTATCTAGAGCCAAATTATTTCTTATTGGGGCTATCCAGATGAAGTGTATGATATTGTAACTGAAGATGGTTACATCCTTGGCCTTTATAGAATTCCTTATGGGAAGACAAACAGTGACAGTTCAGGTAATATTCAATTCAGAACAACTTGGTGACTATCTGGGCCCTCAGTGAGTGTCAGACAAGGAAAGGACTTAAAGATGAAGCCCACAGTTAACTTTTCACCCGTGTCTCTACATGCCCCCAGAAGAGAGCCTGATTCTCCCCTGGCTTCTTGTTCACAGGATGGTTTTAGAGTGTGATGGAAACTAAGCTGTTCCAAACGTTCTTTGTGGGTCCCTTTACTCATTTCTGTTGATTCTTTCCAATCTTTTTGTTTCATGAAGGGTTAGAAATGGTAGCATGGTAACATAGGTTTGGAAAATGGCTGGTAAAAATGTCCTTCCTGTCTCCTCTAGTGATAGCAAAGAGATGAGTTTGGTCCTGGTTCTTTATCCCAACAATAGGTACATCACTATCCACAAGTGCGGTGAAAAAGATAAAGCACTCGAATTTGTTGCTAGGGTTATAATCCTTTATCTGTCACTTACTAGAAGAATATGCAATAGATTACTTTTGCTTATTCATCTAATTGCTCAAACAAAAGCCAACTTTTTTTTTTTAGTTTTCTCTTTAGATATTTCTCCTTGAAAAGGATGTTTCTCATATTATAAAATACCCTCTCAAGTTTTAAGCATTAAAGTATATTTCAGGAAAGATACTAATTTGAAACAACCTCAATCAATGTAATTTTGGATCTTTATAAAGGTCAGAATTACCAGACAGAAAATGTTAACATAGATTTACCATAATTATAGTAATCATTTTTCAGGGTCTGACCTAATTTTGTGAATACTGTAATAAAATATTGAAAGGTAATTTAAAAATACAGTAAGTGCTTTTGAGTTGTCTAGAAGCAGTGCCAGAGACAGGGAGTCAGGAGCATATGATTTATTGCTGGTCTACCATCAGGAGAAGGTCATGTGGAAATGGGGAGGGCAAGGAAAGGAGCTGGGGAAGGGTGTGGCTCAGCTAAGTCCAGCTGGAGTCTGATCTCAGGGGAGCTTATGGATCCAGGAACTGCATCGTGGAAGCTGTCCTTCCTTGAAGTTAAGGAGTTAGCCTTTTGCATTGCCACAGCAGCTAGTTATTGCTTAAGGCTACTTTTAGTGGTGTAATCTCCTAGGAAAGGCAACTGCCATTTGCCCTGGGGGATAGAGGGGCAATAATGAGCACTTAGAAAGCAACACCCACAACATCTGGGAGCTCCACCTACTTTGGAAAGGAAGTCTAGGTGAGCACCAAAATAACAGAGAGTGCACCTCTTACATTACACAGATCCTTTTGTTTTTCACATTATGCTTATTTCATCCAGGTACAGGTTTTCCAGGGTATGGGTAGGTCAGAATTTCTGGGGAAACTTACAAGAGGAAGGTGAGTGGAAAAAAGTATGACGTCTGCCAGTGCCACTGATCCTAACGCCATGGCTGTCACTTGTGAATTCTCACCTGTATTACCCACTGTAGATTCCCCTCCCTCTCAGCTGTGTCCCCTGATGTGGCAAGCCAGGCCCTTATCCTGAAGGGTTACTGTGCCTGTAACAGGTCACAGTTGCAGTACTTGTACATTTTATAGGGAAAGCAAGGCAACGGAGTAACAAAAGATGTCTCACTGAATCTCGTGAACACCAAGTATGTTTTTCCATCCTCATTCTGTATCAGAAGCCCTACCTCGTCATGATGAAGGCCAATGACTCCTGCCAACATAGTAATTCCTTTCTTTGCCCCTCCTGCCCTCTAGTCTTCTGTCATAAGGAACCCAAAGTCATAGCCTTCCAGCAGTCATGGCTTTATTATTAGGATGTTTACTGTGTGAACTAGTGGACGTGTCTTATGTCTGGGGACCAGGGCCCTGGATCTATAAGAGCCTTAAATTGTGAGGACAGAAAGTACAAACCTCCAAGTGAGTTACTGGATGATAGTGAATAAGACCATTCTTAATCCTACCCCTTTTTTCTCAGACTCCGTGTTCTCCCGATTAGAGGAAGCAGCAATATATTCAGTCATTTGTTTAAGGTATCGAATGAGTCCTTAAGGACAGGACCCACAGTTACAGGATGTCATCTCCCAGCTGGCATCTCTACTGGGTGGTGATTTCATTGCTTGGTTGGGCTGGCAGCCTCTTGATGCTGGTTACGCCCTCAGACCAGTGGCCTTCCAAGGACATAATACTGAGGAATGTACCCTCTTTGACCTGCAGTGATTCCCTTTATTTGAGGTATGTCAAGAGGGGTTCCATATTTGTAGATCAGACGCTCCATGGACTCTTGAATAATAGTGCTGGCTGCTGTGGTCCTATGTGGAAAGAAAGGCAAATCATAGCCAAAATATATATCAATGCCAGTCATAGTGGATTGTTTGACCTTTCCAGAAGAGAAAAGGTCTGATGCCCCCAATTAGTCTCCAAGTGGCTGGTTTGGTCTCCTTGAGGGGACGGTACCCTGTGAGATCTCTGTTGCAGGCAGGTCAGACATACTTTCCTAGCAGTAGTCTTGGTGAGGCACCCATGCTGGGGGGTCCAAGTTAACCTACATCTCTCTCATCATGGCTACTTCTTTCATGAGCCCACTGCACAGCACTGGGGTGGCTAAGACCAGTGTCTGGCTGACATCTACTATAATATGTTATTTTAAATGTATATGATGGAAGCATGAGTGGCTCAGTTAAATGTCCGACTCTTGTTTTTGGCTCAGGTCATGATCTCAGGGTGGCGAGCTCAAGGTCTGCGTTGGGCTCCGTGCTCAATATGGAGTCTACTTGAGATTCTCTTTCTCCCTCCCTCTCTGCCCCTCCCCCTGCTCGCTCCCTCTCTCTCTCTAAAATAAAAATAAAATAAAATAAAATGTATATGAGTGCTCACATGACTATTAGCTATGTGAATGTTCTAATCTTAAAAGTTTATATATTTAAGTGAGACATGACCTAATGGTATACTTGGTCATTTGAAAAAAAATTCTTTGTAAACTTTGCTAAGTTTGCAACTTTGTAAACTTTGCTAAACAACTCTGACATACAATGGGATTAAACATGAAAAATTTACCGTATTTATACAATATAAAATTTAAAAATATATTTTTAAAACTTCAAACTGTCATGTGTTAAAAGATTGAATTTCAGATGAGATATTTATACAGATACTACAACATTTAAGAAGAAATTGTCTGCATTTTTTTTCTAGCTCAGAGGCTTGTTGTCTACTTGCAACATGGTTTGCTTACATCTGCCAACAGCTGGATCTCCAATCTGCCCAACAACAGCCTGGGCTTCATTCTGGCAGATGCTGGTTACGACGTGTGGATGGGGAACAGCAGGGGGACCACCTGGTCCAGGAAACACAAGTACCTTAAGACAAATTCCAAAGAATTCTGGGCCTTCAGGTACAAATAACATCAAGTAATGTTTCATTTTATTTTATAAGTGTGTCAAATATTTTGTCTTGTGTTTGAATGAAATAAAGTAAAACAGAAGTGTCTTTTCTCAATCAGGTCTTGTAACAGACCATCACAATTTATGTCAATTTTTGCTTGAAAATGAAAGAATGCTTGCTTGACCTTAAATGTGTTTCTCGTTTGTCAGTAGTAACCTTTATTGGCTAACCCCACCCTTCCTATTGTTTTGCTCCTTGACCTATATATTTACTTTATCTCCCTGTATGTAAAATAAACAGCCTCTTTATAAGACTGTCTTGGGGCTACTTTATTCCCTGACTTTGTGTTCTCACAGAAGTCTTTATTAAGTACATATATTACACCATATAACCTCTTTTTAAAAAAAGATTTATTTATTTGAGAGAGAGCTGGAGAGAAAGTGCATGCACATGCATGAGTCGGGGGAGGAGCAGAGGAGAAGGAGAGAGAAGCTCAAACAGACTCCACACTGAGTGAAGAGCCAGACACAGGGCTCGACCTCACCACCCTGAGACCATGACCTGAGCTGAAATCAAGAGTCAGATGCTCAACCAATTGAGCCACCCAAGGGCCCCATAAATTCTTTTTTTTTAAACATCTTTTTTTTTTTTAAGATTTCATTTATTTATTTGACAAAGATCACAAGTAGGTAGAGAGGCAGGCAGAGAGAGAGAGGTGGAAGCAGGCTCCCTGCTGAGCAGAGAGTCCGATGTGGGACTCAATCCCAGGACTCTAGGACCATGACCTGAGCTGAAGGCAGAGGCTTTAACCCACTGTGCCACCCAGGCGCCCCACCCCATAACTTCTTGATAATACCTAAAGAGATTTGAAAATTGTTTGCCTTCACTTACCTGTTCATTATCTTCAAGGGTTAGCATCACATTCTAGAAGCAAGGGGATTTCAACTTCCCTTTTTCTTTTGTAGTTTTGACGAGATGGCAAAATATGACCTCCCAGCCTCCATCGACTTCATCGTGAAGCACACGGGACAAGAGGAGATATTTTATATAGGCCATTCCCAGGGCACCACTATTGGTATGGCCAGAAGGAGTATGCAATATCTTTTGTAGGGTTTGCAGACACACCTCCTACAGATGTGGGCAAGCTCCCAGAGCTACAAGTGACACAAAACAGAGCTCCGGGAAGAGGACCCACAGCCCGGCCCTGGACGCTAACCCCCTTCCTTCTTCTACCTTGTCTTCTCCAGTCACAAAGAATCCATTGTAATAACAGGTTGTCTTTGTTCCCAAGTGTTCAGAAGTTAGATATCCATCTTGGGATCAAAGTGAGATCATAACTACCCCTTGTTCCACAAATAGAAATTTCATACTTATAATTGTCATTTAAGTGTGGCAAAGGACCTCATGAGGGAGAGACGTGAGAAGGCCATCAATGCTTATGCATTTAGGACAGATTAAACTTTAGACATGCACGAAGATGGACCTAAGTCTTCATATGTTTAAAGAGACTAAAAAAGAACTTCTTTCAACTCACAGCAACATGATGCTTCCATCTAATGCGTAATAGTTTCACTTTCAGAAAATAAAAAAATTCTCTAAAACCCAACATAATTCTCTTACATGATGTGGTAAACCTCCTTACTCCCACTCTTTCTTTTCTTTTCTTTTTTTTTTTTTTAATTTTTATTTATTTGACAGACACAGCAAGAGAGGGAACACAAGCAGGGAGAGTGGGAGGGGGAGAAGCAGGCTCTCTGCTGAGCAGGGAGCCCGATGTGGGACTCGATCCCAGGACCCTGGGATCTTGACCTGAGCCGAAGGCAGAGGCTTTAACCCACTGAGCCACCCAGGTGCCCCCTTACTCCCACTCTTTCTACTGGGGAAGTTACAAAGCCCACTTGATAATAGCAACCAGTATTCACGGAGTCTTTTCTAGGCTGAAAAATGATCATTTTCTTATAGGAATAAGCCACATCCTGCTTTAAAAGAGTGTGTTGAAGAACAGTCTTATTCGATTTTCCACAGATCTTTTCTCTGACATTTATTAATCATGTGTGTGACTTGCAGTCTGGATTTTCCAACTGTTCTAGTTCTCTGGAACCAGGAATCTTGGAAAATTATTAAATAAGAAAGAAGTGGCTATGTGCTAGAATTTACTGACGTCTAATATGTTATATGATTCTCTGGTTGTGTGCCTTCTTAGAACTCAGAAAACAGAAAAGCTATAAAAATAAAAAAAGATGTGCAAGAATGTAGCTTGATAAGATATCATAAAAGGGAAAACTATTTGTCATACTAATGACTCTAAACTAACAATAAAATATAAACTAGTATCCTCCGCACAATAAGGCAAGGATGTTTTAAAATATATTAAAAGTAAATATAAAAACAATTTGACATGTATTGATTGGATCTGTCACCTAAAGTGTAAGATTCAAATATCCAAAAAGCTCACTAACCTATTTTCAGCATTGCCAGTTATAGAAATGTTCAATATTGTTCCTGATGTCTCAACTATGGTGTTACGAGACTCTTTTATTGTTGATTTATCATTGTTTATGGTCTAGACATTGTTTTTAATATTAATCATCAGTAGATGCTTGATCGATATGTATGTCTCATACTGGGTGATCGAGAAATGTTTGATAAGGGAATTGAGAAATGAATGAGTCAATTAAGCGGTTGTAACATATTGAATTTACTCTCACTTGCCATGGTATCGTTTCTTACATGCTAGTAATGGTGTAAGAATTGTTCACTTCTGTCTTATTTTCTTTCAGCTTTCATAACATTTTCCACAATACCACAGATAGCTGAAAGAATCAAAATATTTTTTGCCTTAGCTCCAGTTTTTTCTATCAAATACTCAAAGAGCCCTTTAATTAAATTGGCATACAAATGGAGGTCAGTGTTAAAGGTATGTTATTCCTTTCCTTTACATAGCTGATAATACAAAATGACAATGATTCTGTCCTTTCAAAATAAAAGGTCTTGACTATGTTTGCATGAATTTAATTTTTTGGTTTCAGCGACACTGGATTCTTTCTTTTGTTTTTACAAAGGAATAAGATTTTATTTATAATAGCTTTGGACATCTCATTTTGAAGGAAAATCCAGTAGTCAGCTTATCTCTATCTCCTGCTTCCAAGTTTTGCCCTTAATTTGAATGTATTTCTTTTAGGGCGCCTGGGTGGCTCAGTGGGTTAAAGCCTCTGCCTTTGGCTCAGGTCATGATCCCAGGGTCCTGGGATCGAGCCTCACATTGGGCGCTCTGCTCAGTGGGGAGCCTGCTTCCTCCTCTCTCTGCCTGCTTCTCTGCCTACTTGTGATCTCTGTCTGTCAAATGAATAAATAAAATCTTTAAAAAAATAAATAAATGTATTTCTTTTAAAGGTTTTATTTAGTTATTTATTTGAAAGAGAGAGAGAGAGAACACAAGGGCAAGGGAGGCAGGGTAGGGCAGAGAGAGGGACAAGCAGACTGCTCTGAGCATGGACCCAACATGGGACTCCATCTCATGACCCTGAGCCAAAATCAAGAGTCACCCACTTAACCGACTGAGCCACCCAGGCACCTCTCTCATTTAAATATTTTGAACTAATGTGAGACAGTGCATTTCATTATAAATATAATGAGCTCATTGCACCATTCTTTGATTAATTATTTCGGTTTTCCAAATATGAATAAAGTAAACTTGTTTTACAGGCTTTTTTGGGCAACAAAGACTTCCTACCTAATACCTCATTCAAAAGATTTGTTGGCTCAAAGCTGTGTCCACTGAAGATTATTGGTAAGATTTGCCGTGATGTCTTGTTTATGATATATGGATATGACCAGGAGAACTTAAATATGGTGAGAACAAATTGAATTTGAAATGTACTTTGTCCATTTTTAGAAAGCAGCTCTTAATAGTACTTACTTTATGTCTTGCATGTCATTGTATGATTTATCCACATGTACTGATAGATTTTTAGCCTTCCTGGTTTGAGGACTACACCAACATTCTGAAACTAATCAGCATGAGCATGCTGGGATTATTTTGCATTCCGATTTGTCTTGCTCTCTGTAGAGAACAGAGAGCAGGTGCTGTGCTGGGTCTTTTTATTGGCCTTTACTATTGGGTGTTAGTTTCCTGAAGTTTCTTGTCTTTAAGTTCTCTCCTATCACTTATTTTTTTAAAAGATTTTATTTATTTATTTGACATAGAGAGATCACAAGTAGGCAGAGAGGCAAGCAGAGAGAGAGAGAGGAGGAAGCAGGCTCCCTGCCCAGCCCGATGCGGGACTCGATCCCAGGACCCTGAGATCATGACCTGAGCTGAAGACAGAGGCTTAACCCACTGAACCACCCAGGCACCCCATCTTCTATCTCTTATTTTTTTTAACAACTCCTGCTCTTATATCTTGGTTCCTAACACTCCTTCCCTTTCTTATTGACCCTTTTGTAATTGGCATTTGTGCCTGCTAATTACCTTACCGGCTTCAGGCATTCATCAAAATTCCTGGAGTAGGACACTGTTTAGGGGCTCAAGCTACTATTTCCAAAGCTGTACAGTTTGATTGTGTATAGATGCTATTGCAGATGTACGCATTCATTCTAAGACTTTTTAAGCACATTAAATTAAAAAACCGGATTTAGCAGAAGCAGTTGTGGCATTCAGACTACTGGTTGGTTCCTGCACCTGTACCATTTAATAATTTCCCAGCAAGAATCAATTTATTCATTCAAAGAAAGAGAAGTTGTCAAGATGTCCATTCTTACCAACTTAGTCCGTGGATTCAAGGCAATCCCAACCAAAATCCCTGCAAGCTAATTTAAGGATATTGATAAATGACTTCTAACATTACGGAGGGAAGCAAAACCTGGAGTAACCAACACAGAATTGAAGGGAAAGAGCAAAGTTGGAGGACTGGTACTGTTGAATGTTAAGACTTAGTCTTCAACTACAATAATCTAGACAGTGTGGGATTAATGAAAGAAACAAGAAGATCAGTGCAGCAGAATAGAGAGTGCAGACACAGAGTCTCATGAATACCATCAACAGATCTTTGACAAAGGAGAAAGGCAGTGCACTAGAAAAACCATAGTCTCTTCAACAAATGGTGTTGGGACAACTGGATGTCTACATACAAAAAATGAAATACCCTTCACGAAGTTAACTCAGATTTGGATCATAGACCTAAATGTGAAATGTAAGACTCTCAAACTCTTAGAAGATCACATAGGGAAAAACCTAGATGATCTTGGATGTGGCAAGGACCACCAGGTTGTACTTTTTGTTTGTTATAATTGATGAACCTACATGGACACATCATAAGTACCCCAAATCCATAGTTTACAGCGTGGTTCACTCTGGTGTTCTACATTCTGTGAGTTCTAACAAATGTATAATGACATAGACCTACCATTACAGTATCATGTAGGATATTTTCACTGCCCTATAAATCCTCTGTGCTTTGTCTACTCATCCCTCCCCTCTTAAATCCTGGCAACCACTGATACCACTGATTTTTTCACTGCCTGCCACAGTTTTGCCTTTTCCAGAATGTCATGTAGTTGGAATCATAGTTTGTAGCCCTCTCAGATTGCCTTTGTCCATTTAGTAACATACATTCAAGGTTCCTCCATGTCTTTTCCTGGCTTGGTATCTCATTTATTTTTAGTGCTGAAAAAATATTTTATTGTCTGGATGTATCACTGTATATCTATCCACCTACTAAAGGACATTATGGTTCAAGTTTTGACAATTATGAGTAAAGATGCTATCAAGATCAATGTGCAGATTTTGTGTGAACACGAGTCTTTACCCCCTTTGGATAAATACCAAGGAGTGCGATTGCTGGATGGTGTGACAAGGATATCTTTTGTTTTATAAGAGACCACTAAACTGTTTTTCCAAAGGGGTTGTACTATTGTGCATTCCCACCAGCAGTGAATGAGAGTTCCTGTGACTTTTTCCTCACAAGCACTTGGTGCTGTCAACGTTTCAGACCTTTGTCATTTTCATAGGTGTGTAGTGGTATCTCATTGTTTTCTTAAATTGCATTTCCCTGATGGTGTATGATGCAGAGCATCTTTTCATGGTCATTTGCTATCTGTTTATTCAGTGAGCTGTCTGTTAAGGTCTTTGGCCCATTTTTAAATCAGGTTATTTTCTCATTGTTGAGTTTGAAGAGTTCTTTGTACATTTTGGGTAACAGTCTTTCATAGATATGTCTTTTGCAAATATTTTCTTCCAGTCCATGGCCTGTCTTCTAATTCTCTTTGTCTTTTGCAAAGTGGCTGTTTTTGACTTGGAAGAAGCTCAGCTTGTCAGTTATTTCTTTCATAGGTTGTGCCTTTGGTGTTTTATCTACAAAGCCATCACTAGACCCAAAGTCAACTAGATTTTCTCTACTAGGTCATCTTCTAGGACTTTCATAGTTTTGAGTTTGACATTTAGATCTGTGTTCTATTTTGAGTTAACTCTTGTGAAGGGTGTGAGGTCTGTGCCTCAATTCTTTTTTTTTTCTTTTTCTTTTCCATGTCGTTGTCTAGTTGTTCCAGGACCATTTGTTGAAGACACCATTGTTTCTTGATTGTATTGCCTTTTCTCTTTTTCAAAGATCTGTTGACTATATAGGGGTCTATTTGGGGGCCCTCTTTCCATTCTATGGATCTATTTGTCTATTCTTCCACCAGTACCCCACTTCTTGATTACTGTAGGTTGATAGTACATCTTGAAGTTGTGTATGTCCGTCCTCCAACTTTGTTCCTCCCTTACAATACTGTATTGGCTGTCCTGGGTCTTCTGCTTCTCCATCTGAGAAGCAATTTGTTGATATCCTTATGAGAACTTGCTGAGATTTTGATAGGACAACATTGACATTGTAAGTCTTGCTCACTGACTAAGGTTTCCAGGGACATTGTAGTTAATTCAAACCTTGATGACAGGTTGACATGAAAGCTGCTGCATTTCTGGTTGTTTCACTGGGAGTTGTGTAGCATTTCAGGAGCCCAGTTCATCATGGAAAGGGTTTCTTTTTAAATCTCCTAATCACCCTTGGCAGGCCCTGGGGTAATTTGTTTGTTTGTTTGTTTGTTTTCCTCAACTAGCTTAGTTCTCACAATAAAACTTCAGATTCCCTGGGATTGGCAAATAACTTGAAGGAAAAACTGGCTTTAGTACTTTGCTTTTTTGAGTTTTTTTGTTTTCCTTTTCCATTTCTCCTGGTAATTTCTATCTTTTCAGTCCTTTGTGCTCTCAAAAGGGGTCTGTATGTGAGTCCTAAGAGTTTAGATTGTTTTCAGTACGGGATGACAGACTATATAACTCGGAAATCCAATAATAGCTTCTATGTTAATGTAAAATTACACATTTAGTAAGTACATTTATGTACTTAATTAAAATATAATTTTATATTTTATTTATATTATTTGCTTAAAATTACTTTAAATTTTATTGAAATTATTTAGTGTAGTAAATATCAAAAGTTACGCTATCTCTGGATGGACTAAGTATAAAAATAATTTTTTAACCCCTCAGAGTCGTGTGGATGTGTATTTGTCACATAACCCAGCAGGGACATCTGTTCAAAATATGCTACACTGGAGTCAGGTATAACTTTTCAAGTGCTTTTTAGTACAATTTTATTTATACTACTCGTGGTTACCCCATCATTCTGAGAATCACGCCATTGTCATAGGATGATAAATTTAGAAGGATAAAATGTAACTATTACATATTTAAGTAATTCTTCATGTTTTCTAATATGTTAAAATCATGATCTATTAGGTCTTCTAACCCTAAGCAATAATCAGAGCAATATACCTATTTTCTGTTTTCCAAATGAGAAAATGTTAATTTGGAATAGTAGACTAGGAATCATTGGGCCATGTTTATCATTTGACTTGCCCAAAGATTCAGAGCTATTCCTTTAAAAACACCTAAGACTAATAATAATAATAACAATAATAATAAAATTTTAAACACCTAAGACTAAAACACAGGTATCCCAATGCCTAGTCTCTCACTAGACTTCATTCTCTCCTCCACTCACTTGTGAACTCCATAAGGCCCATGAGCAAGTTTTATTCACTTCTGTATTTGCAAGGCCAAGAGTTCTGGGCAAACAACAGATACTCAAGAATATATGTTATGTGAATATTAATGAAGAAAAAAATCCAGTATGAATACCATCTTAAGGTTGAGAGCCAGGATAAAATCTTAGAAGGAACAGTATACTTGAGATCAAAATATCAGGCACTGAATCTTTTCTCTGAAACTTACTGGTAGTGAGACACTCAGCAAGCTCACTTACTCCTTATGAAGTCAGTTTCCTTAATTTTAAAAATGGAGTTAATAATAATACTCTGACTTAACTAACAAAAATATTATGAGAGTTCAACAGGGTGATGATCAAGAGTGTTGTTTAAATTTAATGAACACTAATGAACTCAAGTATCATTGAGATATTGGGAAGGACTTTCTCATTTAACATGTTTAAATCTACTAAGTGATTGTTTTGAGGTAAATTATTAAAAATCTTTAACTTATATTTAGATTTAGTTCATTCCTGGTGATAACTAGGCCGGGAAAGTTTAAGCAACCTTTGCATCTATTCATCTATTGAAACAATATTTATTGAGTACCTACTATGTGCCCTGTACTGTTCTATGCTCAGGGTACACATCAGTGAACAAAGTAAATATTCCTGTCCTCCTTAAGCTGACATTCTAGCAGTTAGATATACAGACAGTAAACATTAAGCATAGCAAATAAGTAGATTATTAAAACTTTAGAAGGGAATAGAAACTATGGAAAAATAAAGGGGAAAAAGCAAGATAAAGAGATTAGACACAGTGGGTAGAGAGTTGTGTTTTTGAACAGAGAGGTTAGGCCAGCCTCAATGAGATGGTGACATTCGAGAAGAGATTTAGGGAAGCTGAGAAAGTTAGCGGTGTGAACAACCTGGAGGAAGAACATTCCAGACAGAATAACCAACGCAAAGCCCTTTAGTTAGGAGCATTTCTGAGAGGCATGGCTAAAAGGTCAGTGTGGCTGATGTCAGCAATTAAGGGAGAAAGAAGTAAGGGAAAGGGGGCAGAAATGTACTAGAGCCAGAAAGGAACAAGTACTCCATTGGGAGGACTTCGGCTTTCTGGCTAAGTGAGCAGCCACTGCAGGTTTTTGAGCAGGGAGCGGACATGATATGACTTACATTTTTAAAGGAATGCTTAGGGGACGCCTCACTGGCTCAGTCAACAGAGCATGTGATTCTTGATCTCGGGGTTGTGAGTTCAAGCACCACATTAGGGGTAGAGTTTACTTGGGGGAGAAAAAAAAGAATGCTTCGGGTGCCATGTTGGGTAGATCGAAGTGGAAACAATGAGAAATTTTGGAGACCACCATAATCCAGATTGATGATGGCCTGCACAGATGTGTTTCCAGGAAGGGTGCCGAAGAGGGTTGGGTTCTGAGTGTACGTGTGTATTGTAAACATGCAGCCAAAGACATTTAATATGGATTCTGTGAAAGGAGAGAGGGAAGAGTCTTGGATGATTCCAGATTTTCTGGCCTAAGCAAGGAAAATATGCAATTGCCATTAAAGGAGATAGGGACATTTGGTGGCAGTGCAGCTTTGAGGGACAGAGAAGATGTTCACATTTGGAGATGTTAAGTGTGAGGCATCCCAGTGTGTAACTTGAATAAGCAGTTGTGTATAGGAGTCTAGTATTTAGAAGAGATTTACAGAAGAGGATAAACATTTTAAGTATGGACACCACTGAAAACCAAGAAACTGGATGAGAACACACACAGAGCGAATACAGATGGGGAGAAGAGGAGCACGGGTAGAAGGCTGAGACATGGAAGGATTCAAATGTTAGGCAGCGGCGGCTGGATGAATACAGCAAAGAAACCAAAAAGGAGCTGGGAGTGAAAAATGAAGATCAAGAAATGACGGTATGAGACAAACCATAAGAGACTCTTAATGTCACAAAACAAACTGAGTGTGCCTTGGGGAGGGGGGTAGGGAGAAGGTGGTGGGGTTACAGACATTGGGGAGGGTATGTGATATGGTGAGTGTTGTGAAGTGTGTAAACCTAGCGATTCACAGACCTGTACCCCTGGGGCTAATAATACGTTATATGTTTATAAAAAATTTTTAAAAATTATTAAAAAAAAAAAAAAAGAAATGACGGTATTCCAGAAGCTAAGTGGAGAAAAGCTCTAGGATAGAAATGAACAGCTGGGTCCATGGCATCATGGGTAATGTGAGGAAATTCCTCAGAATCGACAAGTTTTACAAGTGCTAAGATCATGAATAACCTCAGCCGGTTTTGTGGAAGGAAAGAACTGCAGGGTAAGAAGTGTTGTTGGGGGAAAAATCAGGTTGTCCAGAGAGAAGGAAGGTAAAGGAACCCATCAGAGATGGGTTTTAAGATATACGCTAACGATGGAATTCCAGGTGGTAGAGAGAGTTTTAGAAGTTGGGAGGAGTTAGGAGAAGATAAAATGGTGGGTGCATGGAGACCTGTCAGGGTTAGAGTCCGAGAGAAGATCTGTAAGCTGAGAGTCTGAAACTTCCTGCAATAAAAACATTATCAGGGGGAGAAAAGGATATGATCAGATTAGACCTAAGAGGCTCACAGCAGGTGGTGGTGGTGAGGCTACAGTTATGAAAGGTGAAGCAAGGGGTGGCTTCTGGAACATGCTCTAGAGAGATGCTGTTTGAAGCAAGGATGTTTAGGGATGTGTCATTTCAGTTCTAGTGCACCTAGTCCTAGACACTTTTTTTTAAAGATATATATTTTAAGATATATTTATATTTATATATATTTTTAAGAGCTATTTACTTATTTTAGAGAGAGTGTGAGCACAGGGAGGGGCAGAGGAAGAGGGAGAGGGAGAATCTTCAAGCAGACTCCCTACTGAGTGCGGAGCCCAACGTGGGGCTCAATCCCACAACCCTGAGATCATGACCTGAGCTGAAGCCAAGAGTTGGACGCTCAACAGACTGAGCCACGTAGGTGCCCATAGACACTCACTTTTGTCCTCTGTGGATGGAGCTGAGGCTTTCCAGGGAGGGCTGATGAGCACACAGGCTCCCGTTAACAAGGTAAAAGGACTTGGGGGAACATGCATTTATATGTAACTGATAGAATCACGTTCCGTAGACACGCCTGCCCCTCCCCACCTCCCCCCCTCCATTTCTTGCCCTTTTCAAAGGAAGAGAGAAGCAAAGACATGTCCCTGCGCATATATATTCCAACAGGCCCCATACAGAGGGACAGTATATGCAATGCACACCTCACTTTACCAGCTGCACTGTAGGAAACAGATGAGTATAATCTTGCTTTAAATTTTTTTTTCTTTCAGGTTTTTCATTCTAGTCACTTGAGAGCTTTTGATTGGGGCAGTCCTGTTCTGAACTTGGTTCATTTTAATCAGGTACATAATTATGCATAAGTTAAAAACTATCTCCTGGGTCAGTTCAGAGGAGGTGGCTACAGAGAAGGGCTCATGTAAAGCCCGAGAGGATAATAACAGTGAGAAGGACCAGCAGGCAAAGGCTGCCATGATTTGGCTCCATAGTCTCACATCCAATGCGGGCTTTTGCAGATTTTCTATGTATTTTAACCACAAATACCTCAGTTAAGCCTGGAGAAGTTTGACAGGCTGTAGAGTAATTCATCCTCCCTCAGGAGAAAAAATATTGTGTGTATGATACGCGTAGCTCCGTGGTTGGTTAAATAAGAAATAAAAGGCATGATACGGTTCTTGACCCTAAAAGCTCTTGATTGTATTTGGGAAGATAAGACAAACCCATAATTATGAGGAAAAGACAAAAGTTAATGAGAAGATGGTACTATTGTATGAAGAAGATGACAGAAATCTTGAGGTATTAGAACCCAAGTCTGCCATCTTCAAAATTATTCTTTCCCATTATCCTCTTCTGCCTTAGCTAAACTTCATGCCTGGTGTGGTTTGCTTGTGTAAAACTCCAAAGTAAAATGGAAAGATTAAAAACAATAAAATCAGACTTGCTCCCCCCTTCAATATTTACCATTTATTGATAAATACATTGGCAGCTATACAGCTACAGAAATTTTTTTTAAGATTTTATTTATTTATTAGAGAGAGACAGAGTGAGAGAGGGAACATAAGCAGAGGGAGTGGGAAAGAGAGAAGCAGGCTTCCCGCTGAGCTGGGAGCCTGATGCCGGGCTCCATCCCAGGACCCCGGGATCATGACCTGAGCCAAAGGCAGACGCCCAGCAACTAAGCCACCCAGACGACCCAGCTGCAGAAAATTTTGATTAAAATACTTTCGTGCCTTATAAATAAAACTGAAATTCCTTCTGTGGCATGTTTGAACACCCTGAATTAGAGCAAATGCTCTAGTTTTGATTTGTATCTGATCTATTTCTAAGTAAAAACCATAATAAGGATTCTTTCAATATTCCTTGCTTCCATCGTAGTAATTATTTTAGATTCAACTTACTTTAAAATTGTATTAATTAATCATTTAAAGAATAGTAAAGAACATCTTCTATGTATCATTTTCTGCGAACACCCTCTACATTTAGTCCACTCCTCCATTTTACGACATGAGGAACATGAACGTATCGACAGCGACTTGGAACGGGGGCAATGACTTGTTGGCCGATCCTCAAGATGTGAAAAATCTACTTTCTGAAATTACAAACCCTATTTACCATAAAACTATTTCTTGCTACAATCATATAGACTTTTTGTTCGGTTTAGATGCATATCAGCAAGTTTACCGTGAAATCATTGACATTATCCAAGGCAGTCTATAAAGAACTACAGTAGTCTGTGTTGAAGGATCCATTTCATTTCTCTTAAAAGCCAATCATTATTTTCTTGCTATGTATGTTTTTCCTGTTATTTAAATAAAATCTGGAATTTTCCCCTGTTTTTCTTCACTGCCCCAGGCCTTCCATTCATTAAATCAGTGACATTTGTCATATGAGGGGAAATGGCAGATTCCAACACGGCCCGAAGAAGTCTGTTGTGTTTTAAGTAACTAAAAGCATAATTTTAAAGGGATGATTTTTTTGAGAAAGGTGCTTTCTTTTCTTCAAAGATGAGCATATATGATATAAAAAGAGTTTGGGAGAATGCTTGCATATATGAAACCTAATTTTTCTCTACACTGAATGAAGAGTAGAAACACTTTTGAGCTATGTAAAGGAGTTCGGGGGAGAAAAAAAGGGAAGAAAGAGCCTAGATACTACTGTGATAGGGCTGCGTCTGCCCCACTTCTGGCCAAGCTTCTGAAGTAGGGAGATCATAAAAGCCTTAGAGGGTTTGCGCCTCACTTCCTGGGTGTATAGCCGGCCTTTCCAGAAAGTGTGTGCAAAGAGTCGCAATGGTTGTTGGGGCGCCTGGGTGGCTCAGTTGGCTAAGCGTCTGCCTTCGGCTCAGGTCATGATCCTGGAGCCCTGGGATCAGTGGGCATCAGAGGGCGGTACAGGGGACATCACATACAAGGACTTAGACCCCAGTCCTTCCAACTCCTCTATAATGCATAATTTCACAGCCTTTTCTTAGTCCCTGGGGACAGCAAGATGAAAAGGGAGAGTTCTAGAATTGAGTGTAAATTTATCCCATAAAGACTGAAAAAAAAATAATCTATAATTTCCTGGATTGGAAAATTAAGTTTCCTGCCCAAGGCAAAATGGAGGTTGGAAGCCAAGCCAAGTCCAGTTCACTCTGCGGTTGCTAACTCTGTGTTCCACACATGCTTATGGGCCTTAAAAAGTCTTGTACCAAAAATAATGGAATACGCAGAGATAGGGAGAAAAAAATAAAATACATGCATATAAGATTATTGGAATGCAGCTAAGAGAAGACACATAACTTTAAAGGACACAGTTCAGGCTACAGGTCCGTCCTTCCTTTTTTTGGTACCAAAACAGTAGAGCACTGAGAATAGATACACATTTAGAGATGTCTTTTTAAAGAATTTAAGAATGTGAATGAATATAGTGTAAGTGTTGCTTCAAAGTTTTCAAATGACCCTTCAAATAAGACAAATGGGAGACGCAATTATGCAGAATTACTTAGGCTGAGATTTAAAAAATAAGTTGGGGGTATCTGGTTATGGTGGACTGGGACAATGTGAAAAACATTTATTTGAAGAAACAGAGAACTAAAAATGCAGGGAAGAATTACAGGGTCAAGAAAAAGAAGCCCAGGACAGTAAGCCTGGCATTTTAATTGTTTATATCCCAGCAACATCTGCTTATTTCCGGTGTATAATTAAAATCCTGAAAATAAATAGTTGAGAAAAAAAATTGTAATTCAGCTTACCAAAGGGAAGTTTCTCTGATTAACCTTGATCTTCAGACTTTAGACTGGAATCTCAAAATACTATACCCTAAGAATAAAGTCAAACCAGAAGTTGATGACCCTTTCAGAAACTGCAGACCACCTTTGAATCTTAAGATTTCTTAATGTACAAAGATGATTTAGGAATACCGATGCCCTAGCCATCTGTCAAAAACAAAAGTAAGTCTTCTCTGAAGGAAGATCAAGTCATCTAAGATGCTAGAAATAATGCTAAAATCTTGCAATGTTTCAGGATAGGTTGGGTTACAAAAATAAGTTGTGTCTTTATATACTAATTTCAAATAATTGCAAAATGATACTTCAAATATACCATTTACAATATTACAGACAGTTATAATACTTAGGGACACAGATAAACAAATGTGCTCAGGTTGAAAGGCAATGTTATTAAGATACCCGCTCTTTCAAATGTATCCATGTATTCAAAGAAATTGCAATCAAAATTCCACAGGGTTTTTTTTTTTTTCTGGAAATGGTTATACTGATTCTAAACTTTTTGTAGAATTACAATTAATCTAGAATTGTCAAAGTAATTTTTAAAAATGTTGGAGGATTTGTACTACCAAATTGCAAGATTTAAATCACAAAGCTTCCTTAATTAAGACTGTATGGAGTTAATATAAAAAGACTTCTAGATCCATGGGACAATTCAGAGTTCAGAGAGAGGCTACATGTATGTAGTCAGTTGGTCTTCAGTGGGTAAAAGATTGTTTTCTAAGGTGGATATAATTACAGAAAAAAGATGAACTTTGACCTCTATATTACATCACACATAAAATTTAATTTGAAATGAACATAGACCTCAATCCAAAACCCAAAACTCTAGAAATTCTAGAAGAAACAGAGGAGAAATTCTCTGCAACTTGGGGGTAGGCTAAAATATCCCAGCTGAAACAGAGCATGAGCAGTCATAAGGAAAATTTTGATAATTATAATTAAAATCTCCTGCCTGTCAAATGACACTTCAAGAGAATGACAGACAAACTACCACCCAAGAAAAAAATATATACAACAAATAAATCTGACAGAAGCTATTTATCTGAAATACATAAAAATCATTCTCAAACTCAGTCAGAAGAAAAGGAACCCAAGAAAATTTAAGCAAAAGACTTAAACAGATTCTTCATAGAAGATGTAAGAATGACTAACGAAACAGGTATAGGGAAATGTGTTCAACATCATTAATCAACATGGAAATGAAAATCAAAACCACAATGAGATAGCACCTCACATCTGTGGGGATGGCTAGAATCAAAAACTCAAACAATAACAAGTATTGGCAAGAATGGACAGAAAAGAGAAACTTAAATCCATTGTTGATGAGAATATAAATCAGTAGGGTCACTATAGAAAGTATTCTGGAGGTTTCTGAAAAATTAAAAATAGAGCTACCACAGAATCCAATAACCTCACAACTGGCTATATATCCAAAGGAAATAAAATCACTATCTCAAAGAGATATCTGCACTTCTATGTTCATTGTATCATTATTCTCAGTGGTTGAGATATGAAAACAGCCCGTGTCTGTTGATGGATGCAAGGATGAAGATTTTTCTGTCTAGGTGTACATATAGATAGATGTTTATGTACTAGCATCAGGTTTATAATCATCATTATCAATATACACTAATTATACATGCATATAAAATTCGGCCTTAAAAAAGAGGGAAATCCTGCTATTTACAAAGATGTGGAAACCTGGATGAGCCTGGAGGACTTTACGCTAAATGAAATAAGTCAGAGAAAGACAAATGCTATATTATCACATTTATGTGTAGAATCTAAAAAAGTCAAACTCATAGTAACAGGGAGTAGAATGGTGGCTACCAGGGCTTGTGAGAAATAGGGAGATGTTGGTTAAAGGATACAAACTGTCAGATATAAGATGAGTAAGTTCGGGGCACCTGGGTGGCTCAGTGGGTTAAGCCTCTGCCTTCGGCTCAGGTCATGATCTCAGGGACCTGGGATCAAGCCCTGCATCAGGCTCTCTGCTTGGTGGGGAACCTGCTTCCCTCTGTCTGTCTGCCTCTCTGCCTACTTGTGATTTCTGTCTGTCAAATAAATAAATAAAATCTTTAAAAAAAATGAGTAAGTTCAAAAAAAGATGAGTAAGAGACCTATATATGAGTAAGAGACGTATATATGGTGACTATAGTTAATAATATACTGTATTCTAAAAAAAAAATAATAATAATAAACCGTATTCAAGAAAGTTACAAAGGAGGTGGGTCGCAAGCATTCTCACCACACGCACAAAAGATAATGACATGAAGTGATAGTTATGTTCCGTAGCTTGATTGTGGTCATCATAGAACATACACATACAACAAAATATCAAAATTTACACCTTAAATATATACAATTTTTGTCAATCATACCTCAATATAGCTGTGGGGGAAAAAAGGAATGGCCAATCAGCCTCTGAAAAGATTTTCAGCATTATGAGTCATCAAAGAACCACAATTAAAACAGTATGAAGTATTTCATAGTCACCAGAATGGCAAAATAAAAAAGAGGTTATTGCTAAGTATTGGGAAGATTGTGGAATAATAAGAATCCTTACACATTGCAAAACAATCTGGTGATTTCTTATAAAAGTAAAAATATACTTAACATGTAACCCAGCAGTTCCATTCTTGGGTATTTACTCAAGGGAAAAGAAAACAGGAGTGAGTGCTGTGAAGTGTAAACCTGGCGATTCACAGACCTGTACCCCTGGGGCCAATAATACATTATATGTTAATATAAATAAATAATTAATTAAATAAATAAGAAATAACAGAAAACAGATAAGAAAAAAGAGCAAGCACAACTCTGAAACCACTATGCACATTTCTGTATACTTCTCTTTCTTCTACACACAGATGTGTATATTTTATTTTAAAGAAAAAAAAAACAGGAATGCCTGAATATTGACAACCAGTAATGAAATCACCATATTAAGATTATAAGGGGGAAGTGGGGAGCCATATGATCCTTTTAATAAATGAGAAGAAGTATTTAACAAAATTTAAAATCTACTTATGATAATAACTCTTGAAGTAAGAAAAAGTTTTCTTAATCTGACAAAGAGTATTTAGAACATAATCTACATCAAACCTCATAGTGACTGATGGAGAATCAAAAGCTTTCCTGCTGAAGCCAGGACAAACAATATGCCCCATCACATACTCATGTCAACGTTGCAGTATAGATCCTAGCCAGTGCAATGGCACAAGAGTAGGAAACAAAGGTGTGAAGGTTAGTAAAATGAAAAACAAAGCTCATTAGTCTCAGTTAATATGATTGAATACATAGAAAATTGAAATGGATTTACATATAAATCATTAGAATTAATCAGTGAGTTTAGCAAAGTTACTTTGACTTTAAGACAATCAGTCTTAAAGTCAGTCTTAAAAACATTATATTCACATGGACCATTTATATGGAAGCAGAACTGACACAT